GTTTCACAATTTGTTCCTTCCTGGATTCGGGGAAGTATCTTTTCGACAACGATTCCTTCGTTCGGTTTTCCTACTAGTTAATTCGGACATGATATTGTGGCTGAAATCAAAAAATGAAAGTAGGAATGAAAAATGACCGGCGGCTCAAGGACGATATAATGCCCTAGCTCGCTGCTATTGATCTTTTTACCTCACCGTTGTTCATTGTTAGCGCCTTTGCCACCTATTCGTTATTGTGGAAAATGAAAGCTGATATTTGCAGGTAAATGCATTCTGGACAGAAAAGCTAGACGATCCGACACTACAACTATTAGGAGATCGATTTGCATTGGATGGAGTGAACAAGATAGTGGAATCTACTGAAAAGAGTCTTACTGTTGTTGTGAAAGAAATAACTCAGATAGTACAAGCAGCTAGTCTGCTAGTTATTCAAGACAACACAAAGATGTCCGTAGTGAGTTCATGGTCGTTAATTATTTTTTAAATAGCATTCCCATTCTGAATTGTACTTATTTTAGAGATGGATGTACGAATTAGCATCGGATGCATCTCATTGCGGTTTCGATTTGGTTCAATTATCTACATTTCGATGGTCTGATTCGAAATATGTTGACGTCTACGAACGTAAACTTTATGAAAGTAAAGGGAAAGATATCGAGTTAGTACTTTTGTTGTTGTAGATATTAACAATTTTTCCTTATGTAATTTTGTCTTTTCAAGTGCATGTAGGGGGCGTATAGCGCAGTGGTTGGAGGTGCCCTGCAATACACATGTGGTCGCACTCCGCGCTCCAGGCTCACCAAACCGTCCATCCCTCCAGTGTCGGCAAATTGGTACCAGACTTGTCTGGGGGATAGCAGCACTGCTTCGATGCATGGGTAGGCCACCGCGAGTCATTGTATGGGCTAGATATGCATTCAGTCACCTTCAGCGATACTTAATGAAGTCGATTGCATGGCGCATATCTCAGGGATTCATCAAAACCGAGAGCTTTATGCTTTTTTATCTGTCTTTCGAATGGATATTTCGTAACACAGTACGAGTTCACACCCATCCATTCACCTTTGCTACTAATGCAACTATCCATGGTCAAAAATATTGGAGAACTTCATCATTTGTAGAGCCGCCATCTGTGTGTCCGCAATATGCCGCGATGGAGTGTATTGTGAATATTTGCTACCTCATGGTGTCGGAAAATTGAGGGCAGGACTACAAACGGACATGAGCATTTCAGTGCTCATGCAACCTGGAGTAACCTTTCTGTTTTCGTTAATAAGTGATTTTCATTTGAAGATTCCATATTTAGGGATTTGTAGTGACAACTCCAGTGCAAAATGAGCTGATGCAAAAGATGGATTGGCAGAGTGAAGGTCGTTTACAGTTGGTAACAGATGAGGTGAAAATATAGTTCTATTTTTTTTCGAGGTTATTGAAAAGCAGAGTTTTCGTTTTTTCTTAATGAAATGTATCTTGCAGAATGCAGTATTCGGAAATATCATAAAGTTTATATCTGTCGAAATACACGCAGGTGGCCATGTTTATGTATTGGTTGGTTTCCGTTTCATCCATTTTTCTTTGAAAGAAGAATATATGTCTAAAAAGTCCGTAATTAGAACAAAACGCTTAATTTTAACTCTTGTTTGAACCGGAGATGAAGGTTTTAGTGATTCCTGCTTCATCGAAGATTAGCTTCCGCAACAGCAAAAACTTTACTTTGTTTAGCAATACTAATGTTGCTTCCATGACGACAGTTGACAAGCTGCTAGCATTTCATCACTGCTCACATACATTTCGTTAAGGCCACATTCAAATCCGAAGCTGGAGAAACGAACTGCCTAATGCGCAAACATCCAAATCTAGAGGCGTGGTTTGTGCACAGCGTAAGTGGTTTACATTTTACAGTAAGGAAGTCTATCACGCATTCAGTAATCTGTAATGAACATCCGTACTTACTTGACGTTAGGCTACTAGTCAATGGTTTTTCACGCAATTCATTAGAGCAACAAAATGATTTATTGAAAATGGTGATAAAACGATAGGATGCTCAATCCTTAACCATAAAGATGCTGAGATATTTGCAAAACTCCGGACCGCAGGTGTCTACGGTGGAGAACGAACGCGCCATTACCCTTTCCGGGACCAACGCGTTCACGATCACGCCATTCGGGTTTTTCATTTCGTCAATCTCTCAGCCAATTTTTTATCTACCAGTGATTTGTGCTCACCAGATCAATCCTATTGACGGTTGATTGCTGATGGTATTAGTAGATAGAAAACTAGCTGACAGACAGGCGAAACGAAGGACGCGCATGCTGTGGTGGTGAACGCGTTAACCCTCGGAAAGGGTGATAGCGCGTTCGTTCCTCACCGCAGACATCTGCGGCTCAGAGTTTTGCAAATATCCCAAGATGATTATAGTTGCATTTCACATAATATAACCTACTGTGAAAAATTGTAGTAGGCAGCAAAAAAAGCTAACATTGTAATTTCAATCCTTAAAGTATATAAATTCGAAGCAGAGGATAGGGTTTTGGATTAAATATAGGAACGGTGCCTCTTAGTTGCACGGTAAATTTCCATCGCCGATTTTTTGTGGCATTTCACAAACATGTTTTATATTTACCATACTTTGGCTGTAATGTTTCCTCTCTAACAAATTTCGCCCTAAAGTTTTTATATGAACAGGGTTTGATGTCGGAAGCATCTCCATCGGCGTTTTTATCAACGGATCATCAGGAAGGATGTATTGTATCGGAAGAGGGTTCACGAGTTACGTTGTTCCGCATGCAGAACTCATCTGCCGACGAACAGCAGGCGTCGCTATTAGTGGACGCACCGGCTCACCGACCAGCACTGCAACTGCTATCCTTTTCGGTCCGATAGGGATAGCTGGTTTCGTAATTTTCAGTCTCTTTTGTGTCTCTATGCATTGGTATCGCCATAATTCGAATTATAATATTTTCATCTTCTATTCTTCTGACGATGTACATTTGCAATCGATGCACTTTTGTTATCAGAATCCTAACCTCTTATAATTTCATATTTTGCTTTAAAAATCTGGTAATTTTTGGTGGCCCAAAATATTCACTGTGACTTATTATTTTAAAGAAGTATTGTATGAAAACTGGGGTCTGCCTAGTGCCATTGGTTATAGATGCCCCACAGAATGAACGTTGTTGGTTCGACTCCGCAGCAAATCATGTCGTCCATCCCTTAGGGACCAGGGCAAAAGATGGGGGTACCATACCTAGGATAAAACACTGACTTGTCACATCGGTAGGACTCGCAGCTCATTTTGTAAGCCAGAACATGCATCCACTTGTACAGTGCTATGAATATAGATTCAAATCCATGGCGCATCTATACTGATAGATCAACGAATAATGCTACATCCTTTATTCGTTCTTTAATACAAAGATTATATTGTGATTGTAGTGATTCTTAGAGGCACAACATTCTCAACAATAGAAAACACATTGAAGACGTTGAAATCTGCTAACGAGGTGCACAAAACCCATGTTTAGAAAGTGAGAAAAGCTAACGCTAGCTGTGATACATACAAGAGTGTGCCATAGATCCTTGCCGGTCTTCTTCATGTCAAAACTGATTTTCAGTGTTTATTGAAGGGTGTTCCGAAGGATTGTATTAGAAGGGTATGGTATTAATGTTCAAGAAGACCACATCGAATTGAAGTGAGCAATCGGAAAATTCGAGCCGTAACGCTGTATGAGCTGTTAATTCAGAGGCGCCCTGACAAATAAGAATGTTTGAAGCTCAGGACCAGACGAGCCGCTACGACTTGCCTTGATCCAGGCGAGCGGATATAACTTTAAGAAGATTTCGGGTTCATCGATCTTGTTTACGGTCAGCTCTTCATTCTGAGATGTTATCGTCAAGTGAATCCAGCACCTGTGATTTTGTTGCTTCCTCAACAGCAACAAAATTTGAGGCCGATTTGCTACCAAACAGCATCCATTAGCGGAAGGTTAAGTGCCAAACTTACAAAAAATAGCTTACTACTCCTAATAATGATGATGGGTACAACACTCCATCTCTTGGAATAAGGTCAAGAACGAACCGGCAAAGACGTATGATCCAGCTAAATAACAGATGACAGACAATGTGATCAAAGAAGACCAGAACACGAATCAAGTCGTTTAGAATAGGATCTCAGATAATAGAATAAGAGCAGTCACGTACCACTGCTTTAATAGGAGGCATGTAATATGATAGAATCACTGGTTATACCTCATCTAAACTTGTTTCATATCGTTGAGCACGTTATCTCACTCAAGTGACTATCGTCTTTGCCAATTTCAAAGCATTATACTCACTTGGATATTTGGATGGCCCATCTTAACTAGTTGTTCGAGCCCCAGCATAATTTCCATTTTTCGGAGTTCTGCTGGCTTAGTTATTGTGGTTCCTTGGAGTCCTGAAGTCAACCTAGCCAAAATCTGCCCCAGGTCTTCTTCACCATAGGCAGTCGCCGCCCTTGCAGATCAAAGGGAGATTTGCCACCATGGGACTAGTTTGATACCAAGACGGTGGTGGATCCCGGTATTGGTTTACTTTTAGCTGGGTTTCTTGATGGAAGCTCCATCAAAGTATTATGACCCAAATCAATAGGGTATTGATACGTTTACAGGATCCAGAAAACCCAACACTTCTCGTTGAATCATTTCCTACTAAAACCTCTGAACAGTACCGCGAAGTGTTCAAGTGCAAAAACCGTCGTCGAGTTCGCCAAGGATCTCAGTGGGTGTGTTGAGAAATATGTGGCGCTTTGCGACGACCACTTCAACAGCAGGTTTCAGCCTAAACTCTATTTGAAATGTGAAAAAAACAAGAAGTAGGACGAGGTAAACAATGTACAGAAAGAACAATATGGACATAAATGGATAAAAAAAACAACTGTACAAACAAATAATGCCAAACGTTTTTTTAAAAATGAGATCAAAAGTTCAGGAATGGCTCGAACAACGTGATCATTACAGCGATTACTTGATCCTTTCACCTATTCGTGGAAGATTCTCATGTAATTTGCATAACACGTGTAGATGGAATCGATCAGGTTGATGAGCACGGCCATATTTGACAGGACCACTGACCTTGAAAGCGGATTATTCACGTGAACTTAGAACGTTGATCTCATTTAAATTTTAAAAAAACTAGTGAGCTAACTGCATCAGATCGCTCCTTGCGTATGCAGCACACCGCTGCCCAAGTGTAGAGTGGATTGGCCCCGTTCAACATCCTAGAGGTCAACTGGTAAGCAGCAAGCTGAAAGTTATTAGCGTCAGAATTAGAATTAGAATTTAACTTATATTATAACATCAAGAACTAGAACCTCCCAACGGTTTACCACCTCATCGTGGCTAGAAGGTGTTCAGCTGCGATGTACAGCGAGAGGATTCATTCCCCTGGCAGGGTCTCTCAAGGCGGGAAGGAGTTGGGCGCTTCCATCAGGAAGCTCGGCTAAGAGTAAACCAATACCGCGATCCACTACCGTCCTGGTGTCAAACTAGTCTCAACTAGGTGGCAAATTTCCCTCTGATCCACAAGGGTGGCGACTGCTGGTAGCGACGACGTGGGACAGACTTTGGCCTGACTGATCTCAGCACTCCAGGGAAACACAATGGCTAAACCAACAAAACTCAAAAAAATGAATTAAAAACATTGTACAAGTTCTATTTTACTGACAGACCACGGCTCATTAACAATCTAACATCTCAGCGTGGTTTGGGTGTTTCTCGATGTCAAATTGGAATTAACAGTAGGGAACTTATCTTCCATCAGTGTCTTCCAAGTGGAGTTCATTTACACGCCTAGCTAAGAGTAAAGAAAGCAGTATTCCATGACAACTACGACCTCAAGTATTGGATATGAACCAATGAAGGAGATCAGTTAACTTCGCAGACACATCTTTGAAATACATTTTTTATTCGAAAGAGTTGCTCCCTAGTAAGTTAAAAATGGAACAAATCTACTCCATAGATTGCTAGCGGATTTCAGAACATTCAACGTTCCAAAACAATAAGAAAAAAGAAAAGAAGCAAGGCAATGTACTCTTCTGAGTTTCACCTACTCGACTGCCTCGTTCACAACCGCCATGCAATTGAATGCGAGTGTAGTGATTACAGGCTTCTTCATACAAAGTGTGATAGTCGGTTTTCGCGTACTGACGCCAGTAGGGGATTTCTGGCACGAGGTCCTCAAGCCATGCGTTCAACAACGACGACATCACCCACTCGTACGCCAAGCAGCGCAACGTGTCCTTCAAATGACGAACTTTAGAAATTTCCATTGTCATAAATAAATAAAAGGATAAAGGAATTGGCGTTGATCAATCCCTGAGGGATACACCATGCATTCAACATCATTAAGCATCGTTGGAGATGATTGAATACACATCTGGCCTTTACAATGACTCGCGGTGGCCTACTGATGTATTGAGCCAGTGCTGCTATCCTCACAAACAAGTCTGGTACCAATTTGCCTACTCCGGAGGGATGGAGGGCTTGGTGGGCCATGAGAGTGGGAATCGATCCCAGTGTGTTTTGCAGGGCGCCTCCAACCATTGCACCACACGCGCCCTTAACTATTTGAGAGATTAATGTGACATAAATAAAAAAAGTGGTAAAACTATGTACGGTGATGATCCAAGCTGACTTGGATGGTTTTATGTTTGGCAAGGGTGATTTCGAATAGTACTTCGCTTTGCCTATTAGATTAGTAAAGAACTCACAGTAAGAATATTGCTAGAATAAATTTAGTCAACTAACATTAAAGCAAATAAGTGGGTGAACTTAAAAGCTTTAAAATGGATGTTACCTACTTATACGAAGCTTCTAATAATCAAGTAACTCACAATCAGCTGACGTATTTCTGCTGCCGCTTCTTCAATGCAGATCGTCCTTAATTCGTCCAGTGCTTTTCTTGCGTGAATGAAGACAAACTTTCCAAAATTGGCATTTTCTCTGTCGTCAACGCATAACTTCCGAGCACAGAAAGCATGTCCTACAGCAAGTGCAAGTGGGCTGAAAGCATTGTTATTTTGTCGGTGATACCAGATAAAGAGTAAACGTCTTCTGATAGACGTCACAATAATACTTCCCGATGTCTGTATCTCCTCTGCTGGTTTGTAAATTCACGCGGATAAAAGGAAAAAGTGTAGAACTCCTGGCGTTGGTCAGTCTCTGAGGGATGGGCCATGCATTCGACCTCATCAACGGTCGTTTGAGGTGGGTAAATGCATATTTGGACTTTACAATGAGTCGCGGAGGCCTACCGATGGATCGACCCAGTGCTTTTATCCTCTCAGACAAGTCTGGTACCAATTTGCCGACCCGGGTGATATAATTCACTAAACTTCTCATAACGTTGCTCCTGAGTATGTTTCTCCACAGCATTTTCACATTTACTACTTTTTCTAAGGATCCATCTCTATATTACGAAGTCATAAGCACCCAACACAGGAAGCAGACACCTGGCAGTTTGTTCATATCAACGTCCTACTTGCTCAGAAGCTCATCAGGACAGCGGCGTACAATCGAGTAGTGTTGTTTGGCCTTTTCGAGCAGTCCTTGTTTCCAAAAGACAGCACAGGTCAACACATGAGTCCACCAAGTGCACATAGCATCACCATCGGTAAGGGATGTCGCGCAGTCTAAACGCTTGGATGACAGTCACATGAAATACTTAAGACTACAATTTCACCTATTCTGCACAGCAACAAGACAGCAAGCCAAATGTACATGCACTCTTTTATTTCGAAACAAAGTGAGGCAATAGGATTGAAGTATGAAAACACAGCAACGGACAAGTGTCCATGCGAGTGGTATTACTGCACAATGGATGTTGGTCGTCACCTTGGGTAAACCTTCATCTTCTCTGCAGGTTAAGAATAGCAGAACGCTTTCTTAGGTTCGATAAACAATAATAAGATATAATCACTTTTTATTTACTACTTATTCTTTCTTCATGGTAGGGTATGATGTGAAATACGACTAAAATGATGCTGCAAATGATGCTGCTGATGCTGTTTGCAAAACTCCGGAAGGCAAATGTATGGGATGGCATTGAACATCGTTATTACCCTTTCCGCTGGCTAACTCGTTCACCCCAACACCATGCGTGCCCTTCGTTTCGTCTTTGTGTTCAGTATCTATTTGTGCCCCCAATAAATCCCGTTGACGAGTGATTGCTGATGGCACTGGTAGATAGAAACTATTTGAGAGGAACACGAAACAAAGGACCCACATGGTATGGTGGTGAACGCGTTAGACCTCGGGGAGAGTAATAGCGTGTTCAATCCCCACGGCATACAGTTACGATCCGGCATTTTGCAAATATGCATCATTGTGGTTGTATCACAAATATCTGGATAGGTTTACTTGAATCCATGCAGTGAATGGATCTGTATATGAAAGTTCGTTCTTCTACTTAGTAAATAATACGATTATGTTCCAAAAAAGCTGTTTTTTAGTAAAATCTGACACAGTTCGACATCTCTAAGAAGGATGGCAAGAATTTCGGTAGCAAATCGAAGTATGTCAGTCGTACAACAAGACAGAAGTATCTGCCGACAGTGGCGATCTCACCCCAATTGTCTCCGTTTTTTGGTTGCCCTGCCGTACACATGGTGACGAGAAGACGCGATATGTTGTCTACAACGTCGATTTCAGTAGATCCATCAGCATTTATTTCTTGGGAAAGTAATGCTAGCAATCGTATTTTAAACATCACGCTGAGTCGAGATAGGATATTGTCTGAAAAAATTAGTAAGTAACTCAAACTAAGATAATTTAACTAACTTTAATCTCAAGTAACTTAATTTTAACTTAACCAACCAAACCTAACTCGCTTTAGCTTTAATTAATCTTACCTTACCCCCAGCAACTTTAAGTAACTCAAAAAACGGAGGTTTCTAATTATAATAAATGAAAATATTTGAAAAATCGTCCCTACGGTTTACCGCCTCATCGTGGCTGAGAGACGTTCTTGGGTGTCGAACTGCGATGTACAGCGGAGGATTCATCCCCTGGCAGGGCCTCCCGAACTGAGGAGTCCGATATTTCCATCAGGAAGCCTAGCTAAGAGTAAACTAATACCAGGATCCACTACCATCCTGACATCAAACTCGCATGAGGATCTCCCTCTAATCCACAAAGGCTGCGACTACCTGTTGTGGTGAAGACCTGGGGCACACTTTGGCCAGGGTGACCTCGGGATTCCAGTGAACCACGGTGGCTTAACCAGCAAATCTCCGAAAAAAAGAGATTGTGCTGGGGCCCGCACAACCAGTGAGGACGGGCCATTCAAGTATCAAGTAAGTATCAAGTAAGTGATGCCTGAAAAATACAGATATACAGTAATTTTTTAAAGTGTCTATCAACGTGTCACGTTGCAAGCAGAAAAAAATACGTGGCTTGCCTCACGTGGAATATGGAAATACGTATGTTTTGAACTTGTCTGGCACCGATTTCACATTTACATTCATTTAAACCAATGAAAAAAGAGACGAACCATCACAGTCGCTGACCATTGGAACGAATGAGAACTTCTTGCTGCGGAGAATCGTTCGAATCCTGTCAGCGTCGGATAAGAACTCCCTTGACAGGGAATGAAAAATCCAATGTAACCCGTTCACCTTAAAAAAGAAGCACTTTTAGGCATTTTCAAATAAGTGAACAGCTAAAGCCTATACGGCAACTCCATACATTTAACTGTATTATTTGATAACACTCGAAGTTACACTCGCATTACTAAGCGCTATAAGCGAACTAAGAGAGTCGACTCATGTTACATTTCAATTTCAAAATGACGCGCGAAATTTTGAAAAACTGCATTTAAAGTTCAATAATATGATTGAACCTCCTAACGGTTTACTGCTCCATCGTGGCTGGGAGGTGTTCATAGGTGTCGGGCTGTGATGTACAGTGGGAGATTCATCACCCCAGCAGGGTCCCCCAATCTGAGAAGGAGTTCAGGATTTTCACCAGGAAGTGCAACTAAGAGTAAACCAATACCAGGATCCACCACCGCCCTACTATCAAGCTAGTCGCATGGTGGCAAATCTCCTTCTGATCTACAAGGGCGGCGACTGTCTGTGGTGGTGACGATCCGGGGCAGAGTTTGGCTAGGCCGACCTAGGGAACCATAATAGTTAAATCATGGCTAAACCAATAAAGCTCCTGAAAAATGGAAAATATGCCCGGGTCCGCATAACTAGTGAAGAAAGGCCATCCAGGTATCCAAGCAAGTAATACGATTGAAATGACGCAAAGCACAAACTCATAGTTCAACAACATGACGCTTTACTCAATGATAGATGAGTTTAAATTTGCAACATGAAAAACAACGTGTCGAGTTCAGAATTCTGGGATAAACAAAAAACTCCATATGTATTCAGATTCATAGTAAAATTTTTTAGTTGACTGTGTCAATTGTGTCAAAATCTAACACGTACGAAAGCAATACTGCTGTGAGACCATCCCCCGACCAAATGCTTTACCAGCTCAATGAAATAAAAAATCCCTTGTATAACAAACAGAAAGAGAAAAAATGCTCACGCTGTCCTCATCAGCCCTTCGTACATGTCTTCTAGCTCTCTTAAAGAAGTATGGAGAAAATATAGATGCCAGGAAATGTGGAAGACATAGCCGAGTTCTAAAAAATCTAGTAACTCTGATGTCTAAAGCTAAATTTATATGAATGTGTCGGTTTGTTGTTCAGCAATCGCGACGTTTTTAAACAGCATACATTTACTTCCATAGAGAAACACAATACAATACAACACTGGCTGACGTTTCGGCAGTATCGCCTTCTTCAGAGCCTGGAAGGGTAAACTGATATACAATCTACTAGGCCAAACGCTTCAATAACACTTACAAAAAGACGGACTCTTCCGTAATTACATGATCAACAACTTCTCGAAAAACTTACCGCTTTTTACTTAACTTCCAATGAGGAAGTTTAGAACAGCTGATTATAGTCGCATATGGTTGACGACTGCACCATTCCACATCAGAAATTGATGCGAACATACGAGATCAGGTCGCGTATGACCTCTGGGCATTCCTCCCTGCTATTCATTGTAGGGTTTTTGGCATTTATCCAAAAAGCCTCAAGAAGTTTTCGCGCTGGTGTTTTAGACTCCTGTGCAAGGGTATTGACTTTTACTTCAAAATCGTCTCTGCTGTGCTTTTGTATCCTATGCGTGCCTAGTGGGGTGCTTCGTCTTAGTTTTCGTTTGCCATTTAGGTGTCCTTTTATACGTATATACAAAGGTCTACCCGTTTCGCCAATATATTCATCTCCGCAATTATTACAAGAGATCAGGTATATCGTACCTGAACTCATGCAGTCACCGTCTCTGCCGTAAGGGCAAATTACGCAATTTGTTGTTTCACATAGACGGTCATACAGGCGGTTACGAACTAATACACGACGTAGAGTAGCCGGTGGTATTCCAACTATCGCTACCGATTCCTCTAGACCTGCCCTTCTTAAACATCCTTTTATAGCTACGCTTACTTCATCGCTTATAAAAGACAACATAAACGGGATTTTCTTTAGGCCACGTGTTTCGCGTGGGCGCATCGCTCTCCTTCTAAACTTATCTCGTGGGGTTACTATTTCGTAGCCATCGTTGATGGCTATTTGCCGAGTCAAGTTACGCGATTCTTCCTTTACTTCCCTGGTAGTGCATACAGAGTGGTTGTTCGAAACATGTTTCTCACAATCGCTCTCTTTGTGTGTGAAGGGTGGGAAGAAAGGAAATTAACGAGGATGTTCTTGTTACTTGGCTTTCGGTACCACTTTGTCGGGTAACCCCTACTGGATAGGTTTATTTAAACGTTCAAAAACGGAAGCCAGTTTTTTCTCGGTTTTTCCGGTCGAACTTTATGTACTCAGACTGCTCATTCAATAGTTGAAAGCATTTGTCCATCTCCTCCTGCGTAGAGAAGACGACAAAGCAACCATCTACATATCTGCAGTAGAGTACTATCCGACCCCGTATGTTCGCATCAATTTCTGATGTGGGATGGTGCAGTCGTCAACCACATGCGACTATAATCAGCTGTTCTAAACTTCCTCATTGGAAGTCACGAAAAAGCGGTGGGTTTTTCGAGAAGTTGTTGATCATGTAATTACCGGAGAGTTTTTCGTCTTTTTGTAAGTGTTATTGAAGCGTTTGGCCTAGTAGATTGTATATCAGTATAGCCTTCCCGGCTCTGAAGAAGGCGATACTGCCGGAACGTCAGCTAGCGTTGTATTGTATTGTGTTTCTCTATGGAAGTAAATTTATGCTGTTTAAAAACCTCGCGACTGCTGAACAACAAAACGACGCATTCATATTCCAATGCCAAGGTTAATAGAAAGTCGATCTTAGGAACTAAATTTATAAAAATCGTGAGTCAACTACAATGATGCTAAGATATTTGCAAAACTCTCGACGACAGGTGTCTGTGGTGGGGATCGAACACGCTATTATCCTTTCCGCGGGCTAATGCGTTCACCACTACACCATGCCCGTCCTTCGTTTCCTCTTTCTCTCAGCTAGTTTTTTACCTACTGTCATATGACATTTGATGGTGAGTCGTATGAACTTCAGATGAAGAATAGTAGTTATGCATGAATAAAAAATAAAGTAATTCTAGAGATTTTGCAACCAATTCAAATAGAGCGGTTAAAACAACAAAGGTTGTACTTCATGACATAGTAAGTAATACAGAAGTTTCGTACCTTATAGCAGCAGCAATAAAAATATCGGCAAGAACGTTTCTTGGCAGACCGTCTGTTGATGCACCGGCGCTTTCTGCAAGATTCACGGCCGAGAGAGCTAGGTAGAGACCGGACAAACCCTCATTCGTCTCGTCGATTCCCAACAAATGCAACTGAAATATGGAGCAGTTGACAATTCCAAGACGTCTTTTCACTACCGAAAACAGTTGTTTTTCACTTGATAATTATGCACAGGTACAGTTTCCCCTTAAATTCAGAAAAAGAATTCGTATCCGACATTCCTGAAGGACTTCTAGCCCATCGTCTTACGGTTTATCTATTTGTAACGGAATGAGTTATGCATGACTCGTGTAGCACACCGAAAGTAGACGCGATGGTCAAATTCATTTTAATCGAGATCGTTTTCCTTAACCAGTCATTTTTTCTTTAATAACTTGAGGAAGAGAAAAAAAAGGGTGCGGCTCGGGATCGTAGCTCACAGATGAGCTCTGTGTACCCTTCAATAAACTACAAAAGTTTCCATGTCTCCAAATCAGAAAACAAGTCAAAACCTAACAGTAAACGAATATAAATCGTATATAATGCTGAGATATTTGCAAAACTCCGGACCGCAGGGGTATGCGGTGGGGAACGAACACGAGCTGTTGTCCTTACCGGGTAGCAGCGCACTTCACCACCACACCATCCGGGTCCGGGTAAACGAATGTTTATACGCAGCATGAGAGAAGATATACTGGTGAGATCCAAATGGGATGGAGACAGAGTACGACGAAGAATACTTGAGTTTATTTCGTTAACGAATGCCATCCATGTGGATCGTAGTTTTACAAATAACCAGTCACTGGACAAGAGAATCTACCAACGAACAAAATCACGATGGAATCCGTTGTGTCGCTGTGTCAATTTTAACACTGAGCTCCGGTTTACAAACGTCGCCGTTGCTCCAAAAACTCATTACGGATATAATAAGACCTCTTGCAAAAAATACTATAATGAAACGCTAAAGTTGTCACGTTAAACCAACCATACTTATCTTAAAGATGAGAAGTACTCGACAGCGATATTCGACTTCTCAATTCCCTGCACCAGGGAAACTACATTCACGAAATGTTAACTTTTTATTTTCTGTCTACTACAGTTTTTTACGGCATGGTATTATGTAAAATACAACCACAGTGATATTGAGATATTTGCAAAACTCTGGGCTGCAGGTGTCCGCGGTGGAGATCGAATACGACCCTTTCCAGGAGCTAACGCATTCACCACCATACTATGAAGGCCCTTCGTCTCGCCTTTCCCCCAGCTTTTTCATTGTGGTTATAAATTCACAAAAGTCAACAAATGACATTTTCCATGACGGTTGCTGGCTTGATACGTCAATATGAAGCCAGTGTCAAGCTTCAGACAAAAATCATTTGATGTTCGAACATTCGAAACTGCTCAAACAGACAGCGAAAGACGACATGTTGGCAACCAGGAAAACTATGAGACCAAGTTGACCGCTCCTCGGCACCGTATGGCAGAACTATTGCTGCTTTTAGGCTTCCTCTAACATTTCTAAAAGGGGAACGAAAAACCCATTACATCTTGGTATCCTTGAGAGTTAGATTCACCAGCAAAACCGCTGTTGGATAAAGCTATATGAGTTGTTCACCAAGCTAACTCTTTTGAGGTTAAATCTCCCGATAAAACCCAAATGAGCATAATGATTTCTCCTGTGTTAGTTCGCCTTCGAAACATCTGTTTTCAAGTAAATGATTTAATTCGATAATAATTTTATTTTAATTTTTAATTTTACGAATTCCGTTATAATTTCTAAACATTTCGATGAAGATGTCCTCAACAAAATCAACAGTAAAGAACTGAATAATGTTCATTAAGTGATAACCTGATGCATTTTATGATAGATCATTGCAGTATGAGCATGACTTTTACAAACCACTGTCACCGGCTTGCCGGCATCTCTTCTTCGACGAGAAAACCATCTAAAATTCATTGTAAGCCTAAGCAAAAAAATCTAATTCATCCTTTTAGATATTGAAACATTAAAGAGGAAAGACAGAACGTAAACGCAAAGAAGAAAACGAAAAAAACAGACATAAAACGAGCAAAACGAGGTAACAAAAGTTGAGAATTGTTAGAACGATGAAGAAATGCGCTCTTCTGTTTTAAGCCATTGTAGGTTTTAATGATGCTGAGATATTTGCAAAACTCCAGGCCGCAGCTGTCTGCGGTGTGGAACGAACGCGTTATTGTACTTTCCGGGGAGTACCGCGTTCGCCATCACACCATGCGGGTCCTTCGTTTCGCCTGTCTCTCAACTATGTCTAGCTTCTTTCTATAGAAATAGCTGAGAGACAGGCGAAGCGAAGGACCCACATGGTGTGATGGCGAACGCGGTACTCCCCGGAAAGTACAATAACGCGTTCGTTCCCCACCGCAGACACCTGCAGTCCGGAGTTTTCCAAATATCTCAGCATCATTAAAGTTATATTTCGCAATATATACCTTGCCGTTAAAAAGAGTAGGCAGTAAATAATAAGTTAAGATTGTAGGTTTTATTCCCCGCGAAAGCAGGGGTAATGTATTTGGAAGAAAAGTGACAAACAATAGACGAGTGGTACTATAAATCCAGGAAGGAGCAAATGTCACCCACTGGAAGATCTAAACCAGTACACGAATTCAACCACTCAGCCAGGATATCTTCCTTGTGAGTCTTCAAGGGTAATCTTGTAATACCTCCCAACAAAAAAAAAAACTCGTTAACTCCTACAAAAACCCTGGTATTCGTAAGATTATTTGAGCAGTGAGCGGAAGAAAGAAGAAAAAGAGATGACGTCTTCCTACATAATTAGATAAATAATTAATTAACAGATAATTCAAAAACAGATACAGAGTAGGCAGCACAGTGGCAGTGATTCTGTGCATGAGGAGGACTGTCAAACATACCCAGGTGCTGGTTCGAGGCCAACCAAGCCTCTCCCTCTTCGGCATCGCGATAATGGTTCCAACCTAGTCTGGGATAAGTTGACACCCTCCGATCCACACGGAAACGCCCCAGCACGGATGTTTCAGGGTTCTAGGTAGAATAGACTCGGTCAGCCCTCAACGATATTAATGACGAAGACAAAGAAGTCCTCAGCTGGTAGCCGAAGCCACACGCCAAAAAAAGTTCGAACACCTTCGCATACAGTGGGTGTGAGAAAAGAATCGAATTCAGGAAATGCTGAGATACGCACAGTGTGATACAAGTGATATCAGATCATGTAGTGAAAGAAAAATAGGAACGTAGCTTCAAAAAAGTCTCGATTTCTTTCTTCTAATTACTAAATATTGGATTAAATTACCTTCCAATCCATAGACTGTTCAAAGTATGGCGGATAATTTGCCACACCACCGAAAGCGCTTGCTCGACACCAGCGGAAGGCAATGGACGCTCCAAAATCTGCAATTTTTGCGAACGATGAGCTCCACTGAAGACTTGGTAAAGCAGTGTGTGCTGCTTATTTCATAAGAAACGAACCTTGGCAGCGAAGAAATTCCAGATATAATCAATTATCGTTGAAAGTAAGATCTATTAAAACATTACAAATGGTGTCCACGATTACGTACATATATTTTTTATTTGACTTGTCTTCACGTCTACTGTGTGGATCTCAGCACTTCTCACATTCAATTCGCTTCCTCGCACACACTGTCCACAAAGATCTTCCAACTTTACGTGTGCCTTCGGTTGCAGCTTGAGGATTTTCACTTTATCTTGAATGCTGTAGAATGTTGGTCGAGCAATTTTCTCCGGAGTCCTGAGATAGCCGGGCTGGAGCGTTCCCAATTGGATTGCACAGAATGATTTTTTTTCCCAGACAAGTCCGGTACTAATTTTCCAACCGTGGAAGGATGAGAGGCTTGGTTGGCCCAGAGCGGAAACGAGCTAGCACCACGCTCGTGATGACGGGCATCACTACCACTGTACTATTCGCCTCCCTATATATACATCCTTTTACAACTATCCTGCTCCGCGGATCTTTCTTAATTGGGAAGACCCAACCGCTTAGTTATAAGAGTATGTGAGAAGCTAATGATGCACTAAGTACGTTGTCATAAAACGGAATGCGTACAGAGAACGGAAACTACTAAGAAACCATCTTGACATTAGATGCGCTAGCAGAGGCGCTGTCGCCCCGTGTTCGTCAACACGACTGTGGCTACAAAACTTCGGTTTCCTTGGTCAATTAACGACTCGAATAGGATGTACAAAGTTGATAAAATATTGACCAACATTAGATTCAACAGTCTTCGCGACTACGCACTAACATCAAACTACAGTGAGGATGAGATCGAGACCATCAAATGATCTTAAAGTTCAACTTCTACAGAGAAAATTACACCCTGCAAAACTGGCAATATTAGAGACTAGACTGACAGCAAGATAATGTTTGAATAATTTCCAAAATCATCTATGATAACCCAGAAATTTACCATAAGGAAACCTATCAAAAGTGAAAATTGGTTTAGTAAAGTAATTTATTAGAACCCTTCTCGATGTTAGGTGAAAATTGTCATAATGGAGCTGACTACATTATTATTAATTAAAGACTTTATTTGAATCTCTCAAAACAACACACGCTAATGTAACATCACTGCTTTCGCGCAAGGATCCTTTCACACTAAGAAAAAGAAACGTGAAATTCATGGCAGGGTATCAGGAACCCGTCACAAATTCGGCTTTATCCACTTTTTGAGTAACTTTTTAGGAGGCACTCTTATGAAAAAGATTGACAAGAACTACAAGGAGATTGAAGTTAGCCACATCGAGATGACAAACACCTGTGGACCATTGACTGGGATCATCGGCTTTGATGAAGACGAAGACATTGAAACGTTAGCCGGATAAATCCTGTTGCCAACCTCGCATAAGCCTAATAGTTTAAACACAAGTTGAATAGAATACGAAAGGCTTATCCAACATATTCACGATAATACACAGAAGGCGAACATTTGGAGTCAACAAAAGTGTATCTCTCTAGTTGATGCAGGATAGCCATGCGAGCAAAGAGAGTTTTAAAAAAAGGTTCAGTATTATGGATAACATCCATACGATGGGGAAACTTACCAGAATATTACCAGCGCACAAGCTATCGCTTTATCTCGCTTTTACGGACCAAGAAGCTTTCCATATAATTGAGATAGAAACCCTCACGAAGAGTTTGGTGAAACGTTGCGTCTTCATTGAGTACACAAAGATCTTTCGTGAGCTGTACTGTAACTTCGTAAACAGAATATTTAACGTTTTGTTTTCTGCCTTCTATAATTTTCATGGCAGTTACTAAGAGAAATACAACCACAACGTTGCTGAGATATTTGCAAAACTCTGGACCGCAGGTGATCTAAGCAATTAATTCGTTATCTTAAGAATCCTTCTTAAGGAAAACGTAGACGAAAACGCATTTTCGGAAAGCTTTTTATTCTTGGTTTCTCGAAAGTGACTCGTCGTGATCACAGGGTATTCATAAGCCTCATAACTGATTCTATTATGACGCTCTACAGTGGTGAATTGAAAAGGAGGTTTAGTACAGCTGTTTCGATACTCCAACGAAGAAGACGCTCATCGTAGTAAGAAACTAATCCAAGTAACACATCTGTGAATAGGTAATATAACAACTGCGTTTATCAAAACCTCCTTTCTTCCGTTCCTCCGTTTTTTTTCTATTCTCTTTCTCATGATTGAATCGCGTTATTTTTATCACGACCAAGCCCTCGTCGGTTCCAAGCTATTCTTCATCAACATTCCGATGTCGAGAACGGTTTCGTTGGAAGTTCAGACTGAAGACTTTTGTATTCGTTGGTTAGTGGAATATTGATATTCGAGTCTGTCTTCGGCACCGAACAATCACTAGCTCGAAGTAGAATGCGCTACTTTGTACGATTTTACCAAGCGAGACTTTCTAACGTTGCCAGAGAGCAGNACAACCACAACGTTGCTGAGATATTTGCAACTCTGGACCGTAGGTGTCTATGGTGGGGAACGAACGCGCTTTTATCCTTTCCGGGAGCAACGCGTTCGCCACCACACCATGCGGGTCCTT